TACCAGATGAAAAAGTTCGGGTACAATCTTGAAACTACATTCTCTACACAACTCTCCAAAATCGCTCTCATTTACAGGATTTTGGAGGAATTTTAAGTACGGGATCATTTTTCCTGTAACTTCCTGCAAGTTTGTGTAAAAACTTTTAAGTTCATGGAGTACTGGATCAGAGCTTATTTTTACTAACACAAACGCACTTTTACAGCTTGAGCGCCAATACAAATTTACCAAAGAACTACACATTTAAACCGGTATATTTCGAGAAAGGAAATTCGAGTCGTAAAAAAAGAGAATGAATTTTTAAGCGGATGAGTTGTACTAAATGATGCCAAAAACCTTACTTTTGCTATACATTTTCGTGAAGAAATAAATATACCATGGTGAAATTATACCAGGTGTAGTAATTAGAAAACAGATTTCACACTGTCTTATTTGAAAACTTGCCTTTAAAAATTTAAATAAGATAGCCGAATGTCAGGAAAATAAAGCGAGAAAGCTATTTGATTACTTCACCTGTTTTTAATTTCTCCATGTAAATATACGAGCATTTTTTCATGGGAGCTGTAAACTCCCTATCTATTAAGCTGACATTTCAGGGTACTATTTTATATATATATAAGGAAAATTTGAAAGTTAGGGGGGCTCGAGCACCCCCCGCCCCTACCTGGCTACGCCCATGTGTATGGATATTATCATGACGAATGTGTAATATATTGAATCGACATCAGGTACCGAAAAGGAAGTATTGGGTACCGAAATTTGTTTTGAAGTATTGGGTACCAAGTATCGGGTACTGTCCACGATTTAGCTTTGCCTGATTTCATATATGTATACACATTTGATGTTGCCTTTTTTAAGATATTTGCCTTTTTTGCCTTTTCTAACATTCAATTGAAATGGGCAAGGAAAAATCCCTTATTCCTGATAATGTGAAAGTTTTAAACGTTCCATATTTAAATTGGGGCGCCACTTGTATCAACTCTCGTCAGTGCACGTTTAGTACATTGAAGGCTTTTCTTCGCGAAAATTGAATAAAAGTTCTGCCAGCGCAGTAAGTTTTCGCAGTTCTCCACCAATTGATCCCCGAAGAGTACTTTTGGGTTGTGTGCAGCGTTTTCGCTTTGCACGCGCGGCAACACTACTCTGGGGAATTCAGTGGTTACAAACTGGATATCTGAATATTGGAAAATAAATAGCAATTACTTTTTTTTTTAAATATAAGAATAGTGTTTGTTTACAAAACTACCTGTGCCACTCTGCCGTAGTACGTTGTTGCTCCCTTTCATACCACAGTAATTTTGTATGTAACCCCGAATCAGCAAAATTCATGCTCCCTTGCATTATCAACCCTGATCAGACTTTACCCCCGAGGAGTACTCAAAAAGGTTTATTAGTGTATATACTGGTTGCATTCCAGATGCTCACGATATTCACGATATTCACGATTTGCAGGTTTTTTTTTTTACAGGAAAGCGTTCCAGGTGCCAAAAAACCTGCAAGTCAAACCACTTTTGTGAGAGCAACTTGCTCTGTCTCTCAGTCAGAAGTTGCAGGTTTTAGTCCGAAGTTTTTCTTCCTGCAAGTTCATGGAAAGTGTCAAACGATAGGCAGGGTTGCATTTGTAAACAAAAACAGATAGCAAAGAACATTAAGCGCCACGGAGACCATCAAATAAATACTTCTAGCATTGCACATGTGTGAGATTGGCTCGTGTCTTGCCCGAAAACGTTCAAATAAACGCGTTAATTCAACAAACAATTTCTTTTTCTTGTCCGCGACGATCAGAAGACAAGTGCGCTTGTTTTTTGTCAAGCAAAACGCGAGACGGTTGATAAAGACATTTGATCGTCTCCATGGCGCTTAACATTAAAAAAAAAAAATGGAAGTAGTTACAGGAAAAGTAGTTTTTCGCGTTCCAGGTGACTTTTATTTTTTCTCTCTTGCTCCTCTCTTTCAAGAGAGTAATTTTGTTATTTGACAGTTTTACAGGTTTTTACACGAAGTTATCTGGAACGCAACTACTGTGATAAAAGTGATACAATTGCATCAACAATTGGCACTATCGATATTTTCAGACTATCGTCTGCTGGTAGTGCATGTCAAAAATTTTTACACTCACCCTGTTCTTCCGGTAGTGCGTTGTCAAAAATTTTTACAGTCATCCTGTACTTACGGTAGTGCATTGTCAAACGAACAGCTGATTGCTGATTTGACGTTTCCATTTATTAATTGTTTACGTTTCTTCTATCTCCCGTGCAACTATTATAATTTATCTGTTTTTTAGTTTAAATACATTTTCCATTTTATTTTATTGACAAATTTTTGAATCTATTCCTCTGGAATACTGCAGAAATGCTAAAGTGTCTTTTGTATTTGCTGTTAATTTTTGTCGATGGGGGCTTCATCTTGGAGGCTACGGCGAAGTCGGATTCAGCTGCAGGTCGTGAAGAAGGATTCCTAGGGGAAACCCAGTGTGCCAATTTAAAACGTCATGAGATTGAACCGCATCTATCTACGAAAACCCCTTATCGTGTTGTTGCTAACTTAGACGATAAGCCCATCGCCTATCCAGGTGAGGATGACATCCGCGATATTAACAGGAGTTCCATAACCTTCAGCGCTAAAAGCTATATGGCAGCCCATTGTTATAGAAACAAGTGTATTTATTAATTCTCTGATAATTTACTTTTTAATGTCACATAGGGTGCCGCGCAACTCGTATTTGGTCAATAATACGACATGGTACGCGTAATCCCAGCAAAGAGCACATTGAAGGAGCAAAGCTGAAACTAGTGCGATTGAAGGAACAAATTCTTTTGAATCCTCAAACTAAGTTATGCCCTGAAGAATTGGCTCGGCTTCGTCTTTGGCATTTCAATGTAAGCAGTCGGGAAGAAAAATACCTTACCGCTGAAGGTGAGGAAGAACTAATTGCTTTGGCAGAGCGCATGCAGAAACGTTTTCCAGATTTGTTGCCCGAACAATACCATCCTAGTTTATATTATTTCAAATATACAAAGACGCAACGCACACTAAAAAGCGCACAGAGTTTTACTACAGGTCTTTTCGGAAGGCATGCCATCGGAGCTGTTGAGTATCCAGAAGCCTTGCATCAAGATCCAGTGCTAAGGGTAAGTAATAAAATATTTAATATATAACTGCCGAAATACATACAGTAAATTCAAGCTAAGATACATTAATATACATATCTGTGGACATTTGACAAAACGGGGGGAAACTTTCCCTTACGAGCGATCGTTGTGTGCGTAGTAGCGGAAGGGGAGGAGGCGTCAGGAGGGTACCGCCAAGGGTATATAACATTTCTTGTGCATAAAAACTAAGACTAGGATCTAGAGGCTTCTATTGAAAAATTTCATTCTGCGTAGGCGGCCCTCGGCCGCTCTTAGGAATTATAATCCTTACAAAGTAGAATTCTCCTTTCTGTGTTGCCGAAAGAAAGGGCCGCAACACCTTTTGCACAGAACACCTTTCTGTCTTGTCAAAAAATTCCTTGTCGTTTAAAGAATAAAGGGAATGCCGCATTATACTAAAGATCATGAGATATATACATCATCGTAGAGTTTCCTAAGCAAAAACGCGGCAAGAAAAAGTGAACGTGATCCATCCCCTTTTGCTGAGTTTAATGGTAAATTTTTTTGGTGCAAATTAACAGCGGCGGCACTGGGCTAAACGTGGAATTTTCAACATTTTCAAAAGCTTATATTTCGAAAACTATTGAACCGATTTTCAAAATATGGACACAGTTGGAAAGGTGATTGGGGGAACTTTCATTCGATATATGGATATGTATTTATGTATATAATGCTTACATATTTTGAGAAAAAGTAAATTATTATTATGGCATTTTTTTTATATGCATACGCAGAAAGAGCCCAAAAATATATTTGAAATAAAAGCTTTTAAAAATTTTGAAAATTCCACGTTTACCGCCGCCTCTGTTAATTTGCACCAAAAAATTGCAATTTTTCTTTTCTTTTCTAGCTCAACGGCCCCCATTCTTTAGGTGTTCCAAAAACACTATCAGCTGATTGCCAAAAAATGCCTACAGCTAAGATAGCCTGTGTTTTGGCATTCGCTCTTTTACAATTTCTTTCATTTCTATTACAATTTATTCAAAATACACTAACACACTGAACCAAAAAAACAATACACTTACCAAAAACACACCTACAGCCTGTCAGAGATAACGGTAAGAAGGACAGTTACGGTACTTACGAACTGTACGATGGTTTTCATATGCATGATTCAATAACTAAAGGTTTGCTCAGTAGTGCCTATTATAGTTTTGACACACAGTGCCTTACTAAGGGGGTCGATTTTGTCAAGAATCATCTTAATATATAAATATTAAGGCGAATTAATATAAGGTGATAGCAGGAGTACAAAAACAAAAATTTACATGTATTTTGTTTTTGCTTAGGCGGTATAAACTGTCAAAATCTGTAAGAGTGTGTGTAGAAATTCAAACAAAATTTTTCAATTCGATATCAGAAGCCGTGCGGGGAAACACATACACAAAATCAGCTGAGCTAGTAACACTACCTTATATAAATTCGCCTTGGTAAATATTTTAGAAATAAATTATAGAAAATAATGATTAGAAGCATGTTTTATTATTCCAATATTTTCGTTCGTGTTCTTGAACAAAAACGTACAAAAATATATAAGAAAATATTACCCTATCTTATTGTACGCCCCCTCAGAAAACCGCGAGACGATTTCATATAAGGTGGTGTTACTAGAACAGGTGGTGTGAATTGCTCTGGTACCGAAATGTCAAAATTTTATATTCCGCTTGAGTGTGTGAGCGAAAGAGAGCATATGTATTTCTTATTTATTCCTTGAGAGTAGAATAGCTAAAAAGGGGCGTTTGTGCACAAAAACAAACCAAATACAGGCACCTTATATAAATTCGTCTTAGAAAAACCAAATAACCGCAAAAAATACAATATGATTCATCAATCAATCATTTTGGATAGCGTATATCAGTAAAATGAGTTGTGAGTTGTTGAGTCATCTCCAGTTTAGAAATTTGAAAAGATGAACTGGCAACTCTACCAACTGCAACCGAATTGCATGTTGACGTACAAAACAGAAAAGACGCGAACTGCCAGTGAAAGCAAAGCAACGAATGAAAGTGGTGTAAACGTCAAATTCGGTAAAGAAGTGAAAGAATGCTGCGTATTTTTCCGTCTAACGTGGTTTTCAATTAAGAATAAAAAAGTGCTCATAATTAAATTGAACAAACGCATTTAAGTTATCCAGTGGATTTAGGATGCGTAACAAATGATTTACAACAAGTAAAACAAATAAATTTTCAACCGAACGAATACAAATTTCTTGCGTGCTGAGCTGCTACTGCCTAAAGGGCGGGGGCAAGCAAAAAAGCGGCCTGTGAACGGCGTAATAAAGTCCTTACGATATAGGTCGACAAATCTGAAAAGTACAGACGCTGCTATAATTTTGGATATCGCAGGACTACTTCAAATATAATTGCTTATATACAGGTCAATTCTGAAAATTGTAACCTTGGAAATTGTTTTTCATAAGCAGAATCGGATTTAAAGTCGGCCACGGCCATTATAATCAACTATTTCGCTGGATATTCTTGCTTTTCGAGGTATATATAAAAAATTCTATAGTGCTCGTGCTAAATGGATAGTGGACGGAATTATGGGCGTCTTGCTACTTCATTTGTCATCGGAGGTGTCGGCAGTGGAGGCGGTTGTGCCGGCAGTGGCAGCCGCAAAACTTCAATGTCTGATAGTCAACAAATGTTACCAATGTTGCAGCAGCTGACAAATGGGTCCTTTGGTATCATAGTACCTGATAAGCATTGCCCACTTTGCTTTCAAGCAAAACGACATCAGGAAAAGATTGAGGGCATAAGGTGCAAGCCGGTTGCTTGGCGCATAAGAGAGCGAATGAAAACAGCTAGTGTTGTGTTAGTGCTTTGTCTGAACATAGGCGTTGATCCACCAGACGTCGTAAAGATACAGCCCTGTGCACGTTTAGAATGCTGGGTCGATCCCTCTTCGGTATCGGCGCCAAAAGCAATGGAATTGATTGGAAACAATTTACAAATGCAATATGAGCGTTGGCAGCCACGCGCACGCTATAAGAAATGCCATGATCCCACAGCTGAAGACGTAAAAAAGCTGTGTACATCACTGCGGCGCAATGCAAAAGGCGAGCGCATACTTTTCCACTACAATGGGCATGGTGTGCCTAAACCAACTGCTAATGGCGAAATTTGGGTATTCAACAAGACATTCACACAATATATACCTTTGAGCATTTTTGAGCTACAAAGCTGGATGGGTGCTCCATCAATTTATGTTTACGATTGCTCTAACGCTGGTATAATTATAAATTCGTTTCAACAATTTGCAGAACAGCATGAACGCGATTTAGAAAAATCGGGTCAACGCGGCGGTCCTGGACAGCCACCATCTATATTAACACCATTTGTTAGCTATAAAAATTGCATACATTTGGCCGCATGCTCTGTCAATGAGATATTGCCTATGAATGCCAATCTCCCAGCAGATTTATTCACATCCTGCCTAACCACGCCAATAAATATCGCCCTTAAGTGGTACACAATGCAAGAGAAGTTCGAGCTGGTTCCGCTCATACAGAGCGAGCAAGTCGACAAGATACCAGGGAAAGTAAATGACCGGCGGACAATGATGGGAGAATTGAATTGGATATTTACTGCCATCACTGACACTATTGCATGGAATACTTTGCCACGCGATCTATTTCAGCGTTTGTTTCGCCAGGATTTGCTGGTCGCCAGTTTATTTCGTAATTTTCTACTCGCCGAGCGTATATTACGTTCGCATGATTGTATCCCTGTATCGCATCCGGCATTACCGCCATGCTTCCGTCATCACATGTGGTCCGCTTGGGATTTAGTCGTGGATTACGCATTGCAGCAGTTGCCTGAAATATTGGAAAAAGGTGCACCGTATCGGCAGTTACCATTTTTTGAACAACAACTAACGGCGTTCCAAGTGTGGCTAGATCGAGAATCCGAATCGCGCTCTCCGCCAGAGCAGTTACCCATTGTACTACAGGTGCTGCTTTCACAGGTGCATCGATTGCGCGCCCTAGAGCTACTTGCACGTTTTCTTGATCTCGGCCCATGGGCGGTAAATTTAGCACTTGGTGTGGGCATCTTTCCCTACGTACTTAAACTGTTGCAGAGTTCGGCGAAGGAATTGCGACCGGTGCTCGTTTTTATATGGGCAAAAATTTTAGCAGTGGATCCGAATTGTCAGGTAGACTTGGTGAAAGAACATAAATACTTTCTGTCTGTTCTGCAAGACACAACCGTATCCAAGGAACACCGTACGCTGTCTGCGTTTGTGTTGGCTTGCATTGTGAACGACTTTTTGCTGGGCAAAACAAGCGCTTTGCAAGGTTCCTTAGTGTCGATATGCCTGGAGCAACTGAACGACGAGAGTTGGCTACTTCGTCAATGGCTAGCTATATGCCTAGGTAATGAGATTGGATAATTGTTTAATTTTTATTAAAACCTTGCTGGACTTTTGGTGCTGTGCGGAGGTGGTAACATTAATAACGTTCAACTTTGTATAATATATAATTGATTCTCTGCTTCTCCACATTTAAGGAAACCAAAAGTTCTTGCAAGAGTACATATGCGACATCTTGATACTACTTTTTCATAACATACTTCTTAACTACTCTTACTCAATTGTCTTAGGCATGCTTTGGCAAAATTTCGAGAAAGCTAGATGGTCCGGCGTTCGAGATTTGGCACACGAAAAACTATATCCCCTGCTCAAAGATCCAATACCAGAAGTTCGCGCAGCTGCTGTTTTCGCATTGGGCACATTTATTAGTTCAGTGACTGATCGAGAAGAGCACGCAAATAATATTGATCGGATAATTGCCATTACACTCTTGGATACTGTGGGGGAGGACATGTCTCCTTTGGTGCGCTTGGAGCTGGCTGCGGCCCTGCAATGGATGGTGTTGCTGTTTGAATCGCAGTTCGTAACGGTGTACATGCAGGAGCAAATGAGTAGTTCGAGCCCTAATTTGGCGCTGACAACATCAGTTAGCGGCAGTGAGCGTAGTGCCAGTGTAGCCCATAGTATGGCTGGTGCACCCAGTCCAGCGGTGGTGCACCATTCTACACACAGCTTAGAACGTCACGTTTCTATGCGGCGAGGTGCTAGCTCAAGTTCGATATCTAACATGGTCTCCACAGCCATACCATTTCAAGCGATATTTTTACGATTGTGGCAAGGTATTTATAATCTTGGCCATGATCCATTTCCGGAAGTGGCAGAAACAGCACAAAAAATTATAGCTTACGTACGTGATAAGTCGGTCGATTTAATCACCGCCAAAGAGGCCACCAGCGACAAGTGCAATTCGAGTGTTAGCTTACCCCCGAGCCCGTCAACACGCGGCAACTTTTTAAGTGGTGAATCACCACCAGTAGGTGCCGGTGTACAGGTGGGGCATCAAAACGCCAGCAATTGGGCGAATAAGCTTCGACATAACAAGCTTTTAGCTGCGAATGTGATGAACAGCGCTGATCATCAGGCGCTATTACAACGTAAATTACGTACTACTTCCATGGGGGATGAGACGGACAGTTGTGTTCCACTAAACGGAAGCCGCAGTGCTGGCTTAATGGGTTCCGGCATTGCAGTCGGCGCAACTACAAGTTTGCACATGAATACAGGTGGCAACGGTGGCGGTGGTGATGGTTCACATTCAGCGCGCAGCAGTACGAGCGAAAGCAACTATGAGCCGAAGTCGACAGCGCTGAAACCGATCCTGCAAACCGAGTTCATATCATGGGCTAATTCGTACTTTATGAGACCCGGTAAGAATCGCTACGCCTCCGCCGAGGGTACGGAGGGACAACAGGTATTTCCCGCAGATACGAATTCTCCTGAATTGCGCTCCCGACAATTTCGTTTTTGCCGCAATGAAATAATGCGGCGACAGTCCAAGGACCAACTCATGCGCGGCTGCCGAATTGACACGCAGACTTGCATGCTAAAGACCCAACACACGCCTGCCATTGTCAAATTGCTGCCATATGAAACACAGCTCGCCGTCGCTTACAAGGAGAAAGTACTAGTCTATGATTGGGTGCGCAATTCAGTGCGCTCATATGTGCCACAAGCCAGCAGCAATCACATCGGCGAGTCGAGCGGTTCATCGTCGTCGCCATCGGCGCACATGCAGCACCATCAGCAACAGTATCTACAGCAGCAACAACAAAGTTTAACCGCTCGCGTTAGTGCCATTGAATTTCTGAATGCACATGACATTGGCTTGATACTGGCAGGTCACGAGGATGGCGTTGTGCGTGTATGGCAACCAGGTACTGAGGATCAACCTGAGTCACAGCTAATAACTGCCTTCGAGGGTATCCCCGCTATGAATGCTGCTTATAATGGTTCGCACGGTGGCAGTGGTGGCGGTGGTGGTAGTGGTACTGGTTCCGGTTCCGGCTCTGGTTCGTCTTCGTTGAAACACCGACGTGACTTGATGCGTACCGGCATAGTCACCGCTTGGCAGCAATGTAGACAGCACCTGGTTGTGGGTGGTGGTATTTCGCGGTTCCTACGCATCTGGGATGTAGAGCGAGAGCTGAAACACGGTGACATACCGATAGGTAGCGAGGCGTGCGTGCGCGTATTGGCGCCATTCTCCTATAATCTGAATAGCAGCATTGTGGTAGCAGGTTGTTCTGATGGCAGCGTGCGGCTATTCGATAAGCGTCTAGCGCCACAAGAGGCGCGAATATGCGTCTTTCGCGAACACATTGGTGCCATACTATCCGTTTGCCTGAAGGAAAACCAACCCACACTGATCACAGGTTGTGCACAGGGACGCGTGCGTATCTTTGATTTACGACAAGCAGCTGCTGTCTCCAGCTGGGAAGCGGGCTCCGATGTGGCCGTAATCGCTAGTCATGCATCGGCGGATATTGTAGCGTGCGGCAGCGCGCAAGGCATTGCGCTACATCAGGAAAGCGGACGAGCGCTGAATACGTTGCGTGGCACCGAGGGCTTTATGGGCACAAAAATCGGCTACCCGACTTGCTTGTCGTTCCACGCGCACAAAGCCGCCTTGGCGGTCGGTTGCGTGGACAACACGGTCGTGGTGTATGAACCTGTTGCAGGTACATAAGAAGAGAAAATTTAAATTTTATGACAATATCATGATGGAAGAAAGCCAAGCAATACATTTACAAATCGTTGATGTTATCACAGTTTAGTATTTTATTATTTTTTGTGATTGAACTATGTATTTGCATGTTTAGGTTTTGTGGAGCTCGTCAAAATGTGCTTCAATATGAGTTTCTAGCCTCACGTAGCGAACACTAATTTATTTATTTATATTTTTTTACTTTTTAAATAATTTTTAATAAATTTTTCTTTACTTGCAGTTCTATAAACTTTGCAAACGCTGGAAGGTCGACGTTGATAAAAATCCAAAGACATTTGACAATTCTGAACGTTTTCTGCACGAACCCGAAATGATTGATGCCGTTAACTTTATTCGTCGTCGCACACAAGTCAAAAACATTACAGCCGAAGAGGCGAAACTTATTTATACTATTTGCGGTTTTGAGACAGCTTGGAATCATCGCCGAGATCTATCGGTGTGGTGTAATCTCTTTAATCGGGACACAATCAAAGCATTAGAATTTTTCGAAGATCTGGAGTATTATTGGAACGATGGTTATGGTTATGAACTGACGCATCGCATGGCCTGTGCTGCAATGGAAAATATGTTTGAATATATTGAGTAAGTAGCACTCATCTAGGCAGGAAAAGCGACTACTTAGAGTTCCAATTCGCCCTAGGCTCCCATTACTTTTTTAAATTGTATAGTATTTTGCACTTTGTATAATGAATTTGCTCCATTGCCTTGCAGCCCGAATTCGCACAAACCAAATGCCACATTTTACTTTACACATTCTGGCACATTGCTGAAGGTTTTGGCACACCTGGGTCTCTACAAAGATGCAGAACCTTTAACATATCGGGACTTTAAACGTGAACGCGCTTGGCGCACTAGTGTGATTGACGCGTTTGCTACCAATTTAGCTTTTGTGCTATATGAGTACGTACAACAAAAAAAAAAAAAACATTTTTATTATATTAAATTTTGTGAAAATATTTCAGATGTAATAGAGAAAATGGTTCAATGGTTTTAACATTGCATCAGGAACGCCCGATTCGGCTACCCGGCTGCCCACAGGATCAAGACCTCTGCAGCTTAAAAGCGTTAAAAGATCAGTATACCCAAATTATATCAAATTGCAATTTAAAAGAGATGTGTCACATTGACCGGGAGTCGGACGAAGTTTGAAAGAAAAATGAAATAATCAGATGATTCAGTGCAATCAAAACAGCGAGAACAAACGTAAACTTTCCTTAGACAAATATGAATGAACAAAATCAATATACAATATAATTAAATTAAGCTTTTATTGTACGATAAAGTGACACTCCTTTTGAGTCGTCATCTAACTGTAATTGTTAATTGTTGTGCTTGAAAACGTCAAATGTCTTGAATTAACAAAAGTGCGAAAACACCGCCCAGAATCTAAAAAAACCGCGACGCAGCGATATTTTGCTTATACAAACACACATAAAATTTGTAATGAAATCAAGATTGCATATACACACCAACTTATATATATATTTATATATACATACATAGTTATTAATAGAACATACATACTTATTAATTTAGACGAAATGAGAAAAAATAAGTATACCTTCTTTATACGCCCATATACATATGTATACATATACTAATTGCTTTGCATATGGAATTACATACGTTAGCTAACCCATATTCATCTAGTGCACAAGACGCCTAGCTAACGCGAATAATTTAAATATTTTGAAACTTGGAAATAACAAAAAACGCGTGGCAGCAGCTTTATCGTCGCTTCATTTAAAAGCACTTCACTGAATATCTAAGTTACTTGACAACTTGTAAATGAATGCACTTTCTCTAAGTTATATACATATGCATATGTATTTTTGCGATCACAGTAAAAGCGCATATAGTGCGTGTTTCAGTGGCGGATCCAGGGGGGTTTTGGGTGTTAAAACAACGCCCGTGGGTCCGCCATTGACTGACACGTAGTTTAACAAATTTCAAATTTTGGGCGAACAGCATTCATGTAGCCGATCCGAAGGCTAATGTTAAATTAAATATACATATATCCTTTTGGAATTTCTGCATTTGGCTATGGGCATATACATATATCAGTTTGCTTGGAAAAAATTTGCGAAAAGTCGCATACACAACTAAGCATATACATATGAATGTATAAGGACTACATTAACAAACTGAACCGCAAACAGCACACGCAGATTAACAAGAAAAATAACAGCAAACAATTTGTTAAATTAAAAAAAAATATATATATATGTGCAAATCAATTGTTTTATAGAACTTGCGCAAATTATACATATGTATTGCATACAACAATTTCTTTAGCAAACATTAGTGTTAGGTAATTAACAAACAATTAGTAAAGTAATTAAATTTTTATTTTAATATTTTCGCGAAATAAAAAAAACAAAAACAAAATTCGTTATAATAAATTGCTTGTGCTGTATTCAAACGAAAGGTTCGTAGCTGTTTTAAAACAATTATTGTTTGTTATTGTTTTTGTGTATGTAACTAAATCATCCTTAAGTTTAGTGATTAACTGGGTTTATATATCTATTACAGTAAAAAGTGTTCAAATGATAAAACTAATAATTTGATTTCATTAAACAGGCCTCCAAGAGTTTATAATTACACAAATATATTAAACACACATATGTACATATTATTAGTTGATACTTCTGATAATTAATTGCAATGTATAAACTACTTAACTAACTTCTGCGAAAAATAAACTAAGTAAAGTAATATTGAAAAAAAAACAAAAAAATTAAAAACACCTTTTTAATCCGAAAACCGTAGAGCATTTTTTCAAGCATCCAGGCATAGTTAGCCATTTTACTTATGGCCTGGACAAAGCATAAAATGTATGTATCTGGCCATGGGAAGTCTTACTCCTCAGCAAACTTTTCAAACTCTTTGATGGATCGCAAGCTATGAGCGACGATAGGAGTGATGAGAAAAGCAAAGATAAAAACGATGAATAATATACACATTTTTGAATGTATCAGGCACGTATCGTCGCCTGGGTAAAAGATTGTCGTATGTTGATTTCGGCAGGTTGTGGGAAATCGCGATTGAAGTTTGGAATGCAATTTCTCAAAAACGCGAAAATAGATATTCTCCAAAGTCGCTGAAAATGTTACTAGTTCAAAAAATTCTTAAATTATCTAATTTTTAATGTTTAATATTAATTAGCTTTGAGTTTATGAAAGATTTTCTTTAGTAAAATTTTGTCGTAAGCGTCATTTGTCCACAATTTGGCAGCCACTTAAAAAACAAAAAAAAAATAATAATTTTCCCCAGCGGCCAAAACTCCCCTAATCCATTACAAAGTGGGGTGTGCGGTACGTATACGTAATGTCAATTCAAAATTACTTTTCTGAAATTACAGCCCAAGAAGGGTTTAATTAATTTAATTTTAATTTAGTTAGTCCACGTAAATTTTTTGAAGTTTTTGATTATTTTTTAATCACATAAAAGTTTTTTACCAACTTTTTCATAGTTTATTTTAACTAAGTCTGATGCTCTGTAAGGGAAAAGTGTTTTTGTACCAACATTTATAGATTAAAACATGCTATTGAGGGACAAAACAGTTCTCGGATTTCCAAATTTTTGTCATCAAAACTTAGTCATAAAATATTATTAGGGTTAATTTTTACCCAATTCGAGTCAACTTTTACACTTTTATTTTCCTCCGCTGGGGCAGGCACCTTGCCGTTGGTGTGGAGGCTTAACTGAATCACCAATCAGTCCTTCCCTGGCCTGGGGTAACGCAGCCGCTTTGCAGCCGCTTTTGCAGCTTCTGCGCTACCCCTTTTCCAGCTTAGGGCTGCTGGCGAACAGCGACCAAGGACTGCCAACCCCCTAATCCAGGGTGTTACGCGTTACCGTGCCTATTGGACGATTTGCAGCCAGGGGGGTCTAATTTCCGCTGTATTATAACGGAGCCTTCCTGAAACCGGGCCGCCTCAGGGAGTAACGGTGGCCTTACCGTGGCAAGGGGCGCTACTGCGGTGGACTATATATTTCCCCACATAATTTTTTGACCACTGGGCCCGCCTCGTCGGGCAGGTGGTCGTACGATCAAGATGAATACAAATAAAAACAAAAACATAAATGACGAAAATAATGAAGATGAATGGAAGTTGCTCGTTAAAGCTCTTAGGAGAAGAGAGGGTTACGACTCCAACAGTGATGAGAGCTCGGCAGGAGAGAGGGAGCTTTCAGCAAGCCCTAGCAAAGAAGCGGAGAGAGCAGAGGCCAAAAAGGCGCGGAAAAGAGAGCGGAAGAAAGCTCTATCGCAATATAAAGCGGCACTGCGCATAATCCAGCGCTTTGGAGCCGTGGTTTACCCGACAAACCGTGAGAAGGAGCGCTTAGCGTGGGAAAGAGAGACGGTTAGGTCAGAACGTGCACAGTTCGATAGAGAACATTATGCTACAGCAAATCGGAGATACCCTAACAGTATAGAGGAGAAGCACGCTAAAAATGATAGGCCGGATATCAAGCGGCAGAAAAGATTTACATACGACGATAAACCGCTTCACAAGGCAGTAAGGCGGGAGAGCCGCGACGACAATGATCCGTCGACTTCGAAGGCGGCTTTGTTAAAGAGCAGCGCGCAAGCTAAGAACGGCGAAGATATAGATGGGATCCCAGATTATGTAGGATTAAGTGAGGTAGCCGAGCAGCACCTGACTGTCGCGCTGCTTGATCATAGTGATCCCTATGGCAAGATGACCACTAAAAAGTGGAATTCTGTAGAGGGTGAGCTATTGAGTCTAATGATCAGGCAAATGCATGAAGAGCCGGACAAACCTATGCCTACATTTGACGGTGAAGGCTGGTTTTACGGGGTCAAGCTCCTTAAATGCAAGGACAGCGCAGCACTGGAATGGCTAAAGCAAGCAGTTCCAAACCTACAAAGGCAAGGGGACAATGCACACTTAGAAGTGGTGGACAGAGTTCTGATCCCCACAATTCCGAAGGCGAAGGTATGGATCCCCTACGTGGTGAAGTCGGATTACGCCCTGCGCTTGTTACAGGCACAAAATCCGAATATACCAACACGGGATTGGAAGGTACTTCACGTATCTAAGACGACGGATGAGGGCCAGAGCTACATACTCCAAATCAACAAAGAGGCTGAAGACTTGTTGTACCCAGAGTATGGCAAAATGTCGTGGGGTATGGGAAGCGTATATTTGCGTCTGGAAAAGCGTAACCTAAAAGACGATAACACAAATACGCTAGAAGTAGGAGAAATCGAGAAAGATCTAGGTTTCGATAACGTGACTGGCCTGAAAATAGTGGACGAGGCAGCTAAGGATGGTGATGAGGTACTA